GGGGGGGGGGGAGACTGCTCTCTCACGCGAGATGCAGCTGAACAAAGATCTAAGAAACAATGGCAAAACAAAAAAGGTTTTCTCATTGCTTCTCTACTTTCCTTCAATTCATCAGGTTTCTGGAAAGACGCAGCACTCAACCTGACTGGGTTATAAAGGCCTGATCTAAAGGAATGAAACGCTTTGCGCCTATTGCGTATGCGAACAAAGCAGCTATGGTTGCCAACCCCATCAAACCGGAGCTTTGCATCAGGTTGTACATGGCGTTAGAAGCGGCCTGGCACGACGGGTTAAGCGAGGGAACCACGTTGGATAGCACAGCATCGCAACTGTGTAGTTGGCGTTCGACAGTATCAACGATCATCCTTGCCCGAATAACCTCTTGGATGGCGGTGATGGCCCTTTTAGCAGCCTTCCCAGGACTGCTCAGCACACCATCCTTCGTACACGTCTGTGCGCACATGGTTAATGTGCATTGCTCCACAGGGACTGAAGCGCACATGTAGCCCTCAGCAGTGGCCGTCGCGCTCGCAGTGGGGTTTTGTAATATCTGCGGCGCCGTAAGGAAACTATTTCTGGTCCATGAGGCCAGTTCTGCATCTGTCACTACTGAGCACGACATGGACTCTGGACAGTCGAACACCTTCATTTGCGCGGCGTTTTCGTTGGGCAACAAATTCTTATCGTAGCAGAATGGCTGAAACTGTTCACAAGTCAACTGTGATTGTTTGAGAATAATATCGTCAAAAATGGGAGTGTAACGGTTGTAGGTAGTGTCATCGCAATCGGCAACCGCCTTCACAACACTCTCCCGTCTGTCGCTCCACTCTGAGATTTCGAAACAGCTCTCGCGCATGAGAAAAGTAGAGGCCGCAAACATGCCGTTGAATCCCCAATCCACGACACCAAGAACCGCCATGATAGTAAAAATAGTCATGGCCGCATAGCGACGATAGTTTCCGAATGCAACTATCAACCCCACAAACGAAACAATTGCAGGGAGAATGTAGACTATGTACCACAACCATATCAGCCTGCCAGCGAAATTAACGAGTGCAATAATGGTGATGTCAAGCATACGGGAAACATCCGACACACGTTCGACTGTCGTCTTCGGAAGATTCTGATCACCCGCAAACAAGTCAATAAGTGAATCCACATACATTGCGTCCAAGCTGGGGTTGTACAATGTCACGCTCATCCCAGCCAGAAGCTCTGCATTTGCCGTCTCTACATGACTCACAGCAGAGTCCGAAAGCTTACGCAGCGCATTCAGTTCCCTTTTCAAACGGGTTAGTGAAGTGCAACCCCATATGCATGCGGCCATACACATGATGAAGACAATCACCGTCAGTATGAGTGGACGAAGGATATCACCCTTGTCGTACTTTGCCGAATACCCAGGGGTAGGAAAGCACAAACCTGGTGTTTGTTTGCGTCCCCCACAGCAGTTGAAGACGTACTTACCGACAAAGTACACCGAAATTGCAATAGCGAATACGCCTGCTACGAACAATCCCGGAGCGGCATAGATCAAAACTGTGGTCCGATAGCTCTTTGGATCGCACTCAATCCACACTTCAGCGTGCTTGTCACAGTTCATCACGCGCCTCAGCCCAGTCGGATATTGTAATACTGGAATATTCTGCGCCTCCACCTTCGTCAAGAACAACAGCACCAATAATGCCAACACCACATGTCCAGCGCGAGCCATATGAACCGTGGGGCGTGAGAGACTACAAAACCCATCGAGGAATAGGTGTAAAAGAAGGCAAGACAAAGCTCTGTACGAGAAATCGGTGCCAACGCAAGAGCCATTGGGGAGTCCAATTTCAAGCTCATATACAAGGGGCAACAACACAAAAGAAAACAGCATGCAGGAGTCACGTATCCTCCTTTTTTTTTTTTCATTGTATACAGCAAGAAGAAAAATACCCATATGCGTCCACGCTATCAATAATGAAACGGATGAGACAAATGACGCCACAAAAAAAAAAAAATGAAAACCGCAGAGCAGCTCACTCCTCCCGCATATCCGAAATGAATTTCTTAAAACTTCTTCCATCTCGATGCGATATCTCGGTTATGGGGAGGCACACAAGCTTCTTGGGGTTCGTTGTCGAATCGAACATGTAAAGCATGACATCGCCTCCATGTTCCCCATATACGTCTCTGGCAACCTTCAGTAGCATATTCTCACATACACCACAGGGAAACAGCGGATTCGGGTCTTTATTCGATCCTTTGTTTTCACCATGCACAAAAACCTCTCGCACGGCACTCGTTGGCAAACCTATGGAGGCCAGCTTCCCCAAAGCATTCTGTTCAGAGCAGCGCGATCCACTTGGCGTGCTAAGCTCGTAGTTCAAGGCCACTACAAAAGACCGTGGGCACTTACACCATGATTTCGTGGGATACTTCAAATCACTATGACAACCACCAGAGCCCCTCACCGAGGGAGGCCGCGTATGCTCGCTGGCGTCTGTTCGGCACTCGCAATCCTTAGGATCTACGTATGTGATTAAGGAAGTTACTATAGGGCGCATTGGATCCTTTTTGCGCCAGCTGGGATGGGCATTATCATGGCGAAATCCCACAATGAGTTGGGTAACATGCAAAAAGAATGAACCCTCCATTTCCTTTTTGAGATCCACAATGTTGTAGTTTCGGTCAGGTTCAAACCGAGCACGGATCTGCTCGCATGCGGCCTGCACCTTGATTGGCAAAGCCAGTGCATAAAACTCCCTGGAGGACAGCTGAATCAGTGACGATACAGAGGTTAAGCATAACGGTAAAGACACCGGCATGACGACGTCAGGGAAGGTTGCGAGAACACTTTCCAGCATGAGCTTGGGCTGAATTTCACGCACAATAGCAATGTTCAACCACTGAGTTAGCCACCGTGGTTCACTTCGACCTACAATAGCATCAAAGGCGTTGTCGCTCAGCTGCTGAACATCACCCACTGTGTGCAACCCAATCTCGTCCAATTGAGTCAGAAAAATTGGCAAATCCGATTCCGCCCGAAGTTGTGCCTTCAATGGCGTCGAGGCCGTCATATTTACCAGTTCCCTAGGGGTGATATTCGCGTGAACATACAGGCACCGCGCTCCGTACCGGCATCGAACGCTGTAGCGGCAGAGTACTGGCTGCACCGCCTCCACGACATTTTCGTGTAGGAGTCCACACGCAAAGAGGAATCCAGCAGTCGGGCTTATCTGCTCCGTGTTGACGCAATGAATGGAGTTATTATGGGACAAACAAAAGGTATGGTAGTTAAACGGGCTCAATTCCAATCGCCACGCTTTAGGATCTAAAAGATGAGCCTTATGGCAACCACATGCCTCACCTCTTAGACTCCGACCACATAGATGAAAACAGTATCGTACCTTCCCCAGCATCTGCTTCAGCTGTGGAGGCGAAATATCATCTTTTTTGAACATAAAGAAACGGATTTTTTGGTGCATACCTTTTGTGGTGCTCCCTTCAGCAGACGATTGGCTTCGTATTTCCATTTCCCGCGGCCCCAAGGAAAGCGGATCATCTAACAACTCCAGTCCCATCTCTTTTGGTGGCGTACAAGGTGATACATCGGCGGAGTCACCAAAGGCGCCATCGCCCATACAATCACGGGAGTAAGCATCCGATTCATCGTCAAGTGCCAGCACGACGTACCGGAGTGTTCTGACCGCCTCGACTGGGGGAAGGTACGCCTTGTAAAAGCGGACGGCGTGCCACATGTTCGCCCCTGCGACGGTCATCTCTGGAGATTAGCAAAGTACGTACAAGAGAGTGGCAGGGTGTTTCGAAGATCTTGATATCCACTTCTTCGCCTGCTCTGGCCTTCAACTGTCCCCACAAGGATCTGGCCCGGCGTGTTCCCTCACCCCCCTCCCTTCCTTTATCGCTTTCCGCGACAAGCACACACACAAGCATATATAATATATAAGAAAAAGAGTGGGGCATTTGGCAAAAACGAATAAACAAGACAACAAGAAAGAAGGCAGGAAGCGGTGCCTTCCATTTGAATAAAAAGACTAGCACACATACACACACACCGAACTACACACAAACTCACACCATATACTCATACCGCACATCACCGCTCGCCTCTCAATGGAGGAGGAGAAGTCTGATTTACGCACATCCAAGCTACACAAAGAAATAAATAAATAAAGTTTGTTTTTTTTTTCGTTTGGAAAGCACGCCGAAGGGAGAAAGTGGGAGTTGGATTTCATTCTCTGCCGGCAGCAGTAGGTGCCGCCGCTCCCTCATCAGAGAAACCGGTTATTGAGCCAAAAGCAGAACAGCAATAGCGAGAGGGAAAAAAAAGGAGCAATGGGCCCCCAGGCAGCCCAAAGCCTAAAGGAAAAAAAAAACATAAAACAGATATTCCGCACCTCCGCAGGTGAAATGCGTAAGAAAGTGTCCGGGAGCCGCTACACTTTGTGTTTCGCTAGAGAGTCCGCCCTCCAAGCCTCGTAAGCATGCAATGAGGCAGGCAGATTCTCTTCTTCTTGCACGGTGTGCCCAAGCGTGCTGTTGGGGTCCATGCACATGACATCCACACCACAGCCCAACTCGGGGAAGCGGCGCGGCCACCACAGCCACTTCTCCGGGACGATGCTCAGCAACGCCGGAACAAACAAAGGCCGAATCACGAAGGTATCGAGCAGAACAGCCACACCAGAAACCACAGCAAACTGCGCTAACATCATAATGGATGAAAACACCAGCGACCCAATCGTCACGAACATAATGATCCCGGCGAAGGAAATCACAGGGCCTGTTTTCCACACCGCCTTGGCGATAGCGGCCTCGTTCGTGTAGCCTTTCGTTTTGAACTCAATCACGCGAGTCATGAGAAAGACATCGTAGTCCAGCGCCAGTGCAGAAAGAAGCAAAAATGCAAAGATGGGGATCAGAAAACAGTAACTCTCCACGTGGTCCAATGCTCCCCATACCTTGTGCAGCCATGTGTATTGAAACACAATGACGCCAACACCGTATGAGAATCCAATTGTGTATACGACGGTAAAGATCATACGAAAAGGCAGCACCAGAGAGCGGAACACAATCAGTATGAACAGAAAGATCGCACCAAATGTCACACCAATTTGCATGGGGAAGAGCTCCATTGATTTTACTATAATTGCCCATGAAGAACTGCTTGCACCGGTAATTCCGTAGTCAAAGAAGATGTTCTCCGAAGCATGCTCCCTAAGAACATCGCGAATCGTATTAAGATATCGATTAGCGGATGGCCCAAATGGGTTTGTTGGTGGTGTGACAATTATGTAGGCTGCCCTCCCCTCCAATGCAGAGACCGTTCGGTTTACAAGGTATTGATAGTCCTCGTTGGTGGCGTATAATAGAAATGACTCCCACGCCTTCAGCCAGATGAGCTCACCGCTGGTCGAATTCCGCACCATGTTCGGCGAGATGATGGCATCGTACGTCTGCCCTGTCCGCGCGACTATGGCCTCAATGACATCCTTCATCACATTTGTCATTTCGTCCGTCTTCCAAAATGAGATGTCATAGGTCCCGCGTACGACGAAGAGAATATAAAAAGGGATCGCCGCTCCATTACCCACATCCCTTTGTATCCGGTTCAGAATCTCTCCGTGTACGCTCCCCCGCGGAATCTGCGTGAACACGTCAAAGTCCACCCGCAGTTGAGTCGCGAAGTAAAAGAACGGCGCACCAAACACGAGAACGCCCATAATCGCAATTAGTGGATGGTGAAAAGAGAACAAGCCGATACGGAACCACACAGATGATACCTGTCGCTTGTGTTCCTCTGCCTCAAAGGACCCAGTCGTCTGTGAGAGAGCATCAACCGGCTCGCTCAGCAACTCTTCCCCCATCGAAGAGGAAATATCACTGGGGGAGCCACGTCTGCAGCAGCCGCAGCAGCAGAAACATCTGCAGTAGCGCAGCAATGTATCCCACAGCTCTCGCCAAGTTGGCGGTCGTGCAAAAAAATTGTAAAATAGTAACAGGAGAGCCGGCTGCGCTGTAAGACTCACAAGAACGGCACAAATAACCGCCACAGACATCGTCAACCCGATCGTTGAAAGAAACGCCACGGGCAAGAATGACAAGCTCCCGACGGCTACGGCGATGGTGAAACCTGAAACAACAATGTTGTGAGCAGAGAGACGTGCGGTGTTCCTCACGACAATCCACTCTGTCTCTGCACTTCGGCCATGGAGAAACTCCTGCTGTCGTACCTGCTCGCGAAACCGCGTGAGAATAAAAAGGGAATAGTCGACACAGATGGCCGCAGTAACGCCAAGGGTGAGCTCCGGCGCAAACGATGACACATCCACGGCGAAGGAGATGGGATACATAATGCTGAACGCAATCACCACTGTACACGGGAGTGAGAAAGCCGGCACTAACAGCGGCCGCACCGATCCCATGCAGTAACTCAGCACAAGAAAGGCTAGCGGAAGAGAAATAACGTCAACACGCATCAAATCACTTACAATACCGTCACGCGCATCGTCAGACAACAACTCTATGCTGGTGTACTCACGCAGGAAGTCCGCCCCGCTCTCCTCACACCACGCATCAACAAGAGACGTGATAACAGGGAGGACAAGATCTGTCTTTAACTCGGGAGCTATACTCAACTCGAGTACACTCGACTGGTTGTGGTCACCGCCAACAAATCTGGAGCGCATGCCATCAGCATCAGGTACAAGGAAGTAACCAAGCACATTGTTGACAATTCCATATATCGGACCGCCTTTGTTCGCGGTCTGTTGCTGGAAGAAATAACTGAAGGCTTCGAAGTGTGGATTCTCAACGATACTTTGTGATGAATTGTGTGATGTCACCAAGAAGAACATTGGATTCACCGACAACTGGTTGGGAAAGTACTTCGCCACATCATTGTTCGTATGGTACACTAGCGTCCCTTTTGGCGGCCTGTATGTCACCCTCGTGTTGTGGATAAACCTCCACGCCAAACACGCTCCACCAAAAAGTGCAAGAGAGTACAACACCACTAGCACCAGTGCAATTTTCTTTTCCCGTTGCATTTGCAATATCGCCTCAGATACCAAGAGAAAAAAGGAATTGTTCGCTACTTATTTGTTCCTAACTGCTGCTGTAATTGTTTTTAGACGCTTGCACCGGCACATCCTTCCACCACATTGCATCAAACCATGGGAACGAAGAGAGGACAGAAAATATTGGGAAACGGAGCAAACGGCACACCAGCGAGCAAAAGTGACAGCCAATTATTTTTTTTCTAGCCGATCCGCAGCGGCCACGATGAGAAAAGAACTTCTGGGCACTGCGCGTGGAGCTCCACCTTAAACCCGCCGCCGGGGGTGCAGCCTCGCCGCCCTGCCAACGGGGTCCGCGTCGTAGTCAAAGTACGGGTCTATCACGAACGGCTGCACCTCGTCATCCCCGCCCTCCAGCAGCATATTCACCTCTGTCGCGGAGAGAAACACGCCGTTCCGAACCCCAGGCGGAGCGCCCGACCCCGGTGAAACGTCATTCACCGCGAGCCCTGGCAACTCAATCGCACCATCGCTAACGCTGTCATCGCACCCATCCCGTGTTTTATCGAAAACCGACTCCACAGCTCCAGAAGCAGAAGCAGAAGCAGCGGCAGCAGTAGCAAGAGGAAGATGGAGGGATTTGCCCTTCCCAGTGGCCGGAGACCCCATAACCCCGTCGCGCTCTGACGAAATTTCTCTATCACCTGTGGTCGTCGCTACTTCCGCTGCTTGTCGCTGCCTTGCCAGCTCACCAACATCCTCCCCTTCCCCACCTTCCTCAGATTCGTCCACGCCAATGAAGTTGCCATACGTCGGCACGATGTCCACCATACCGCGGGTAAGAAACGCCGTCATTGCGCACGTCCTGACCGCCACGGACTCGTCGAGCTCCACCTCCTCCAGCACCACGTCACCCGTTGCGTGAGGCACGGCGTCCACATCACGAAACGTCTCTACTGCCGCCGCGAACTCCTTTTCATCGATATCAGCGCTCTGCGGTCCTTCCATTGAGAGCGCCGCGCGCTCCGCCGCCGATAGCTCGACGAATGTGCGCAGGAACGACACAAGGTTCTCCTCCTTCGCCGCTAAGAAGGTCTGTAGCACGTCCTCATCCTGCAAGGCCATAGCAACTATAGCATGAGACACAAGACAAAGAGCGACAAACTACACAAAGGAATGAGAGAGATGGAAGGGACCATAGGAGAATGCCGGTGACTCTTTATTGCTACTGGAACCGCAGCTCAGCTGGCAGGAGGGGAAAGGAATGCAGTGAACGACTCATAGGGATATATATATATACGATGACATCATATGGCAAATGCAACACCACCCAAAAAAAGGGGGGAATATGAGTACACACCCTACAGCACCGCATTGTGCGCGTCTTCGTCTGTCTGCCTGGCTCTTTCTTTCTTTCTCCCTCTCTCGTGATGGGAGCATAAGCACAACAGGAAGAAGACGGCGGGAAATTTCTGCCGGGTAGCGTACTCTATTGCCACAACCCACTTTGTTTAACGCTGGTGTTTTCTTGCAATCACCCTTCTCCCAGATTCACAGACATACACTCTCTCTCTCTCTCGTGTCCCAAACAGTATTGCGAGTGACAGACCGAAAGACAGCGCCTGCACGCACGCAAAAACAGAATCATACATCTCCACAAACACACACGCGCGCACGCACAGAGACCGCACACACACACACACACACAC